TCGAGTCCTGGTCTAGGCAGGGTGGGAGACTCGGCAGCCTCAGCTCAGTTCACCATTCCTTCGACCCTCCCCTCATCCCTACCTTCCTGCCTTTATTCTGACGCCATCTGTGTGTCCCCAGCCATTAGTCTGGATGGTGTGGCCACGGCATGGGGGCTTGGGTCCTCCTGCGGAGAAGAGTGTTCAAGGGATAGAACGGGCTTGCACAGGGCTGGATGGCGGAGGGGCTGGAGGGAGAGGGTGTTCGGATGCTGGTAGCCTAAGGGAAACCTCAGAAGCTGCTGGATGGACACCCAGTTTCTGTTGCAGACCCGCTGTGCGACCTGCCTGTCCCTCCACCTCTCTGGCCTTCTGTCCACCACCAAGGTGAGGACAGGGAGCTCAATGGTGGCCAGTCTCATTTCCTCTTGGTGGAGGGAGAAATTCCCCGACAGAATGGTGAAGTTTGTCATTCCAAGGAAATGCAGAGAAAAGCAAGCAGCCAGACTGGCAGGCAGGGAGGGCTCTGACGTGCGTGTGGGTCATATCCGAGGTTGGAGCAGGTGTGGGGGATGGCCGGGCCCTGACTTTCTTTGCCCCGGAAGCAAGTGACTTACCGAGGGGTTACTCAATCTTGAGAAAGCCAGGGCAGCTAGCTTTGTCTTCAGCTCTCTTTTTTTTTCTTTCTCCCCTCTGGCACATACGTACCTGACCTCTTAGGTGGCCCGAGCTGGGGAGGAGATGTAAGTGGGAGCCTCAGGTTTGGGCTACTTTGAGGTGAGCTTACAAGGGGCTCTGCTGCCTGCTGCGAAGGCCTTCCTGAGTCTCGCAGGATCTGCTGCTTCCCCACCCAGGACTTTCCTGATCCGTCTTACTCACCCTAAGACTGAAACTGTACCACGAGGTTACCCTTTGGGCACATTACTTGGCAAAGTAAGTCATTCTCCAGGATCACCCCTCTCATCCTGACAGCTCACCAAGGGGCTTTTGCCTAGACTGCGGGGCTGGGCAGCTCGCGCCCTCCCACGGGAGCTGGCGCCTTCAGGGAGACACCGGGAGGGGCCTGTGTGCGCCCAAACTCAGCTCTGTCCATGTGCTGAGTCACTCGGGAAGCAATGTCTTGGAGAAGCTGCCCGGCTCTTCAGCCAGCCTCTGTTAAACACGCTGAAGTCCCAGCCCACCTGATTCTATATGGCCGGGGGCGCTGCCAGAGCCCTCCCAGCACAGGTGAGCCAGTGCTCATTCGCAATGAGCCTCATTCGCAAACCTAGGACACTTAGAAAAGGAACAGTGTGATCGTTCTTCCGAGAGTCATGCGATCCATTCCCAGGAACCCCTCCACCAGCAGGCCCCTTCATGCATTCAGATCATTCATTCCACAAGGGTTTGCTGTGCACCGGCTCGGTGGGCGCCTGAAGCCCCGAGATGAATAAAACAGGCCCGCTTGGGAAACTGCTCCCTTGTCTACCTCTGTGTGTCTCCAGGGGTCTCCGGCTAACTCTCCTGCCTGCAGGCCTTCAGTCCCCACCAAGCTGCTACCTGCACCTTTCTTGGTCCTTACCCTAAGCACAGTGCTGAATGTACGTGTTCATGTACTCTTTCATGCACTTTTCATCGCACAGGCTGCTAAAGGCTGCCTTCTCTTAGCCCCAGTGGTCGATGAGGCAACGGAGGCATGTAGAGGTGAGATGCGTTGCACAAGTTGGTAAGTTGCCCAAGCCTGTCTTTGAATCCAGGGCAGCTGACTCGCAGAGCCCAAACTCACAGTAGTTGAACCACTCCGCCTCTAGGTCAAGACGCCTTGTGTAGTGAGTCACTCGAGTCTGGCCTCCCTCCCACGTCCCACGGCACCTGAAATAGCTCCTGTGCTTGCCGCAAGATTAGCTTCAGTTATAAGCAACCGACCTGACCAAGCGGATGCAATGGAGCTGGCCTCAACTCATGGTGACCCGCCTGTGTGTCAGTGCAGAACTGCACTCCAATGACCTTTCAGTGGCTGATTGTTGGAGAGGTCACCAGGCCTTTCCTCCAAGGTGTTTCTGGGTAAACCCCAACCTCCAACCTTTTCGGTTCGGAGCAAAGTGTGCTAACCCTGCGGGGCTCCCACATGGATCCCACAGGGACCCTGCGCCACAGAGTTCTGAAAAGAGAAGTTGGCTCCTGTGCTCAGAGCTGGCGTGGGGTTCAACAGCATCCAGACCAACACTCTTGGCAGAAGTATAGGAGTGGGGATGACCCTGGGGAAGAGGGATTTCTCAGCCAGACACCATTCTTTTCATCTTAATCTGTGCATTAGGTTTTATTTTATTGTTTTGTCTGTTTGAAATGAACATGTCTGTCACTAGAGACTCCAAGTCCCCTTCGGTTTTACTTTTCTTCCTTTTGTGAAATTTTAACTTGTTCCTCGGGCTTAAATGAGGAGCCCTGGTTGTGCTGTTGGGCCAGCATTGAACTGCTGGCTGCCCATGAGGTTGGTGGTTCTAATGCACCCCTGGCTGCATGAGAGAAAGACTGCCTGTAAAGATTCACAGCCTCGGAAACCCTATGCACGGTCACTGTGAGTTAGAATGGACTCACTGGCAGTGGGTGTGGGGGGCCTTTTTGTTTTCTGTTTTTGGGGGGCATTAGGCTTGTATTTGTCAAGCAATATTTCTTAAAATTTGAACTTAAGCACTGCCAATTGGTGATGAGGTTGATGTGTGGGAAATAATGGTATGGTTGATATTAGGGAAAGATGCTGGGGCAAATATGCCTGCCTAGAACCAGGAGAGTCAATAAGGCCTGCTCTCGTTCTCGAAGGTAGCATAAGCATTTCCAACCAACTAATTGTTGAGTCAGTTCTGACCCTGGTGACCTCCGTGCGTGTCAGAGTAGAATAGGGGGCCTTTCAGAAGTAGATTGCCAGGCCTTTCCTCTGCGGCACCACGGGGGAGATCCTAACCTCCAGCCTTTCAGTCAGCAGCCACATGTGTGAACCATTTGTAACACCCAGACACTCCAAACGTTTTAAAATACCGTTGACACTCCTCTCCAGGTTTCTTGGTGAATTTCATCTCAATTTATGGAGGAGATTCGAGAGCCTCTACTTTTCTCATTCTCTTCCTTCTCCGTAGGCCTCAGTTTCCCCATTTCATGCCTCAATGACAGAGGTGGCCCCAAAGAGAAGCCCTAAGGCTTCTCCTCGCTCCCAGCCCTGGTCCTTCCCGGGAGGAGGCCTGGGTGGGCTCCCACCTCGGGCTGGAGCCAGCCCTCCTCTCCCTCTGGTCTCTGGACTTCCTGGGAGGCAGGGTTGGCTCTACTCTCATCCTCGAAGACAGAGAGAAGGAAAGTGATGAAGTCTAAAGCAGTGGTTCTCAACCTTCCTAATGCCGAGATCCTTTAATACAGTTCCTCATGTGGTGGTGACCGCATATGTGGGCATATCTGCACGTGGGCAGACCTGCCTGGAGCAGGCCAGAGGAGTGGTATCTCATTTCCTAAGACCATCAGAAATATTGTCTTAGGTAACACCCATGAAAGGGTCGTTCAACTCCCAAAGGGGTCGAGACCCCAGGTTGAGAACCACTGGTCTAAAGAGAGGGTTTCTCTGCCAAGGAGACAGGAGGGTTGGGGCTGTCCGGCGCTGCTGCTTTCCCACCATGAACTAAACAGATGCTGGGGCTGGACAGCACGTTGATGCTCTAACAAGCGCCGAGTGGCTGGGTCCTGTCCTCCTCACTTGGTCTGGGTGGCCACTGGCTGCCCATGGTTCACATGCCCGAGTAGCTACGGGGTCCCTTTTAGCTGAAAGCTCCTGAACCACCCAGCAGCGCCCTTCGTGGTCCCCCAGACAGCCCTTTATCTGGTCTGCAGCGTGGAAGAACCTGGGAGCCGGAGTGCCAGGTAGACCGGGCATGCGCAGCTGGGAGGCAGAGCCCAGCCCAACCAACAGCCTTTCAGAGTATAAAGTTTGGCTTCACTTCCACGCACAGACACGCATGCACGGTGCTTGTGGGCCTGGTCAGGTTCGTTCTCTTGGACCTTTCCACCCTTCATGTATTCACTTACTCATCCATTCGTTCTTCAAAAATTAAACCAAGCAACTTTGTTGGAAGCCCATCCCGGGCTGCCTGTCATTTACTGTAATCCTGGGCTGTCATTGACTGATCGGTTGGGAGACTTGGGCAAGTCTGTTTCTTGTGAAACATGGAAAGGGTGCTGTGAGTGCTCACACCTCAGTGAGGTCAAATCACTCAAACCACTGCAGAGGCTGTGGGCTCCCAGACCGGCTCATGCATCTCCCAGGGAGCCCAGGGGAAAGGGGAGAAGTCAGGGATTGATGATCCACAGAACGGGGAATGGTTTCCTTCCCTATGAGGAGCGCACAGTGAGCTTTCGTCCAAGAGCAACCTTTGCTCCAATAGACAGAGACTGGAACTCTTCAGGGAAGTAGAGAGAAGGGGGAGCGGGGAGGGAGGGGAAAAAATGAAAAATGAGGAGCTAACTCCAAGAGCTCAAGTGGAAAGCAAATGTTTTGAGAATGATGAGGGCAACGAATGTACAAATGTGCTTGACGCAATTGATGTATGTATGGATTGTGATAAGAGTTGTATGAGCCCCAAAGCTTTATCTTTCCCGGGGTGGGGTTGGGGTTGCTGGGTGGAACAGCTGCTGGTTTCAAACCGCTGACCTTGCACTTTGCAGCCCAACGTGCAAACATTAGGGCCCTAGAAGGCGGGGGTAAGGCCATCCAACACCGCAGGCGGGCGGTGGAGGTGGAGGTAACAGGGCCTCTGGACTCCTGGCTCGGTGAACAGACGGGAGAGGCGGGTCCTGAGGCAGGGAGGGCCCTACAAGGGAGAGGAGGGACCAGCCCCGTCAGCCCGGCCCAGGCTGCTCTGGGCGGAGCCGGCCCGCCCGCGCGCAGGTGAGCCAGGAGGCGCGGAGCTCAGCGCGGCCGGTGCCAGCTTTGGGGGCCCCCCGCGGCCGCCGCTCCGAGCCACGGGTCAGAGTCGCCTTCCTCTGCGAGGCGCTCCGGAGCCATGGCCGGCCTGGATTTCGGGGTCACAGTCGCACTGCTGGGGGTTCTGCTGCTGGGCGTGGCGCGGCTGCCGCGCGGGGCCGGTGAGTGCAGGGCGTCGGGTGCGGGCGGGGAGGGTGCGCAGCGATCCAACGGATCGACGGTGCTCAGGAGACGGCCGGGGAGTGCGGAGGGCGCAGGGCCCGGGGATGGCTGGCTGCGCTCTGGGGCCCTCCTGCCGGGCGCCGTGGTCTTGCGAGCTCGCGCTGGGCGCCGGCCGACGCACTTGGGAGTGTCCCCGAAGGAGAGCCGCGCCCGGGCCCCGGGCCGAGCCTGGGAGCCCTGTCCCGGTGGAGCGCGCCGCGCCCAGGGGATGTCGCCGGGACTCCCAGGAGGCACCCAGCAGGACGTGCAGCTTCGTCTCCGGGCTTACTCCTTCGCCTGGACTAGGAGTGGATGCCCGAACGCCGTGGTTTGGCTTCTGATTCCTTCCAGATCGCCGTCCCCCTCGTGCGCGCTCTGCGCGCTGCTCCCGCTTTCCGTGACGCTCCCCGCAGACATCTGCGCTGCGCGGGCAGGCGGCTGGCCAGGCCGCTCTCCCTTCTCACCTAAGTTGGGCGGAGTTTGAAGGCAGTAAGGGGGTCTTACAAGGGACGTGTGTGGATCCAGAGTTGCTCCTGTTAGGGGACAGCAGGCAGGGGTTGGGGTGGTGGTGGTAGCGGCCTGGACTAGCGAGGAAGTTCCCTGCTTCCCCCCGCGCCCCCTGCAAGGATTAGAACACAGTAAATAACCAGGCTTTGTCACATTAGAACTTGGTTTGAGGCCTAACCTAAGACTCGTAGGGGCCGTGTGTTTTCAAACCAGAGTGTCCAGGAAGTGATTGAGTTGTTGATGCCTTTTGCCACACCTCAGGGAGCGCCAGTGTTGGTTGGAGAGGTAAATGAGCCGAAAGAATAAAACCGGGCCCCGTTGAGATGAACTTTGGAATCCCCATGACTGCCTCCATATTACAAATGGAGAGAGCTTCCTCCTTCCTGTCCCCACCATCACGTGACCTATGCTGCCCGGTGGAGAAAAGTCTAAGACATCATTTAAAACATTGCAGGCAGGTTTACTATCATTTTGTGGGGCAAGGGCGCCCGATTGTCAAGATTTCCTTTGGGCAGAGGGAGCCCGTTTGAGGTGAAGGAGTGATTTAAAAGAAGGGAAAGCTAAAAGAATGTGTGTTCACCACACTTTGGGAGCAGTGTTGAGACTCTGGGAATTGTCTACGCTATTTCAAATTGTCTGATAGCCTCTGGGATCTGTTCTGGGAAGTATAGAGTGTAAACCAAGACCTTCTCCCTAAGGATGGTAGTCTGTCCTGAGCTTGTGTTGTTACCTGTCTTGATTTCTTCCTGGACAGGGTGGCTGTCCCTTTGTTTCTTGTCATTCCAGCTAAGTCCCTTCCCTCTTAGAGGAAGTCCTTGACGACTGACCTATGGGTTGTTGTATATGTGGGAGGAAGCTTGGGAACTTTCTTGTTTTCACTTTCTCAATGGGGCCTGGGAAGCCACACCATCAGGCTGGACGAAGGACTGAAGGTGGCCCCCCTGAGAGCAGCTGGCTTGTTGGGAGTTTGTAAATGGCCCAGGCATTTGCAAAGCCACCAAATCTGCCCAGGAAGGGCAGAGAAAGCCAGCATCCTGGCACAGTGGGTTCATTTGATACCTTCCTGAGCTCTCTTAGCAAAGACTCTGGCTGAGTGAAAATGAATCTGGGGTGGTCCTTCGAGAGGCCCTGGTGGCTCAAGGTTAAGTGCTCGGTTGCTAAGCAAAGGGTTAGCGGTTTGAATCCCTAGAGCTGTTCTGTTGGAAAGAGAGCTGGTAACCTGCTCTCAGAAAGATTACCTCCTAGAACACCCCACCGGCAGTTTTGCTCTGTCTCACAGAGTCGCTATGAGTTGAAAACTCACCGGACGGGTCCTGACAGCCACAGTCACAGGTTGCTTGGATCAAGAGTAAAGGGCATTTGTTCATCTTTCCCAACAGCAAAGGGAAGTTCGCCGAGCACTGGGATGCCCAAGAACCACTTAGACACAAAAAGCTGGGTCAGCGACCCTATTCTCTCTGCTATTGCTTCTTGCCCCAAATCCTCAGATTGATCCGGTGAGGTGTTCAACTTAATCTGGGTGTGCGTGCGTGTTCATCGTTCTTCACAAGCAAGGGAACAGCTGCCGGCTATAGGCTGGAATGTGTAACTGGAGTGATGAGTCCCATCCCACCCCGTGTGACTTCGAAGTCAGAGGAGTGAGCTGCTCTCAGTCACAGTCATAGAGCTGTCCTGGGAGGGGATGGGGTGGGGGAGAGGAGGGCCTGTCTCAGGGTTCACCTCTAATGCAGCACTTTACTCTGGACAGCTGTATGTCTTCCCACAACGACCTTCTGGGGCTTCTCCCTAATGGTCAATATGGGTGGCAGCAAACCACCCGCTCCCCACCTCATGGTGACCCTATAGAACTGCCTATAGGGTTTCCAAGGCTGTGCATCTTTCCGGAAGCAGACTGCCACCTCTTACTCCCGTGGAGTGGCTGGTGGGTTGAGCCACAGACCTTGCAGAGGAGTGCTTTAACCACTGTGCCACCAGCGAATGAAGTTTAAACTCCTCACTCCGTTATTTTAAGTTGCATGTGTTTGTGCAAGAAGAGTGTTCTAGAAATAAGCATGTGTGCATGTTATGTCGTTGTAAGCAAAATGGGGGTGGCGGAGCCTGAGCATCCCCCTCTCACCCCTCCGGGTGGTTTTGGTGCTTAGACTGTGTATGTGTAAATAGGATGATCTTCCTGTATGGCTTTGACAACTGAAAAAAAAATTCAATGCCATCAAGTTGATGCTGACTCATAGTGACCCTCTAGGACAGGGCAGAATGCACCCCCTTTGCCCCCCCAGCTTCTGAGACTGTCACTATTTACGGGGTAGAAAGCCTCCTCTTTCTCTGGTGGAGCCTTGGGCAGTTTCCATCTGCTGACCTTGCATTTGCTGACCACCAGCCATCAGGGCTCCTATGGCTTGAACAAGTCCTCTGTTATTGGACATTTAGGTTGCTTTCCATTTTTATTATTGAAAATGGACTATGTTAGGGAATTAAAACCGGAAGAAAAAAGCCACGTCGATGAGTCAGTTCTTACTCATAAGCAACCCTATGGGGCAGTTCGTTTCTTAGAACAGAATTTGAGAGTCAAACTGCCCCACCGGGTTTCCAAGCTGGAAACAGACAACTATATCTTTCTCCCAAAGTGCACCTCGGGGTTCAGACTGCTGACCGTTCACCTAGTAGCCAGGAGCTTTAAACATTGTGCCCCTGGGCTCCTCTTGCCCACCAATAGGGGGACTGCTTATGTCAGTTTCTATTAGACCTGTTCCGTGAAGAGACACACAAAAAAAAAGAATAGAAAAGAAATGGAAGATTCCATCATAGCCCGTGGAGACCTCGTGTAACTGAGGTTGTGGAGTGGCATGAGCTGGGCTGTCCCGCTCTGTGCTCTCTGAATCCGTGTTCCACGCTGCCCCACATTCTTGGCTCCTCCGCTCCGGGGACATTCTGCTGGCTGAGAGGAGAGACCCAGCCCCTGAGGACGTTGGATGCATGGTCCCAAGTGCCCGAGGAGAGCCGGGATGTATATTTGTCCAACAGCGTGTGAGTTCCCCACACTGCCCCCTGCCCAGCTGTCATCATGGGTGTTGGACCAGCACCTGTGGGAGAAGTCTCTCTCACCCTCTAGTTCCACAGACTAGCGTCCTAGCAGTGCTGGACACTGAACTGCACGAAGAACGCCCGGCCAGATGGCACGAACAGGCCAACAGGTGTTGGGGGGTGGGTTTTTGTTTTTTGTTTTTCCATTAAAAGAGAACTGGGCTCCTGACACCAGCCTCCTCAGAGTTTGGGGGTCATTTGCTACTCCGGAAGGACCCTTGATTGAAGTCAGGGTGGGTGGGGCTGTCGGAGATGATAAGATCCCCTGATAAGGGGAAACCTGTGCTAAAGTTCTCCACCTGAGTGATTAGGAAAAGTTCTTACCCTTTAATTACCACTCTAAATTGTAAACATTATTCCACAATCAAATGATTTCCAACCACTTCCCACAGCCTTGTAATTAGCCGCCACCTTCTCCCCGGCAGCTGGCAGCAGTCTCCACTGCGCAGCTCCACTTTGGCCCTGGGCGTGTCTGGTGAGCCTCTGCTTTAAAGTTGTGAGCTGCGAATGCCTGCGTCTCGCGGACTGTGGACACGTTATCCAGCGGGATCCGTCCCTGGAGAAGACGTCCTGCTCGGTAACGCGGAGGGGCAGGGAAAAACAGGCAGCCTCTCCTTGAGAGGGGTGGACACGGCACTGCAACAATGGGCTCAAACATAGCAACCGGGAATGTCGCGCAGGGCCTGGCAGCGTTTCTTCTGTGGCCTGTGGGGTGGAGATGCGCTGGAAGGGACTCCCTTGTCACAGCCAACCCAGCCGGAGCATTTGCTCGGCGCTAGGCGCTGCGGTGAGTGTCCGCTACGTAGATGTCTCCCACTTACCATCAGTCATCCGTTCTGCCTGGAAACATTAACCGAGGCCCTGCGTGTCATTATGTCGTACAAGAAAAATGACAATGGCCCGTTGCCCGCCCGCCCCCAGAGTAGCCACAGCGCTCCTGTAAGGTGGCCAGATTTAAAGCGGACACCATTGTCTGGGGTGGGGGGCGAGGGTGTTCTTGATTAAAAATTTGGTCTATATGGACCAAATAGACTGTTCCCTAGCTTGTCGTGCATTCTTTCCAAAAATCAGGACTTTTGAAAAACGCCCAAACGCGGGACGTCTGGTCACCTTATCCTAGGGTGTCTCCCACCGAGTGGCTTGTGCGCAGGGACCGAGTGCGTGTGCTTTGGTTGACACGCAGCTGTGCCTCCTTGCTTCTGATGGGCTCCTGCCTGTTTGTTTGGAATGTTCATTGAGAGTTTCTGCACATTGCTTCGCGAGGATGTTTCTTATGTAGACATTGGCGCCTCCGCCCACCCCCAAAACAAAACAAAACAAAACACCCTCCGAAATCAGTCAAACTTAGATGCAAGCAACAGATTCTACAAAGCTCAAGTAGTGAACCTCTAAGCTGTTTTCTCTCGGGAAAACGTGAATTGAGGAGTGTGCTTGGGGAAGGCTTGCGGGCCTGCCTGTGTTCTGTAAAGCACCACTCCTCACCTCCTGCGACGGGTGAGAAACAAAGGCACAGAGAGGTGCAGTCACTTGCCCAGAGCCACCCAGCTGCAAGGCAGTGGTACAGAGATGCTAACTCTGCGGGCTCTAGGAGCCAGTCCCCTCCCCCATTTCCTCCCCCCTCCCCCCCCCCCACCCACTGTGCACAGTGAGGCCCAATGTAGGCAGGATTTGCTAGTTGTCTTGGAAACAGTCCGCTGTGCTTCAGCTAGGAATAGTTTTCTTTCTCTTAAAACAAAACAAAAAACCCAACCAACCTTTATTGAGTAGTGGGTTTGTAGTTGCCTTAGAAAATGTGTGTGTGTGTGTGTGTAACATCCAAATGATTTTACACTGTGTTTAGAAAAAGTGATACGTGCGGATGGTGACAACAATCCAGGGTACAGTAGGGCTTGCGGGAGAGA